TTTTAAAAATGATAATGCTTGGCTTTATGCTTCTGATTCTCAACAAAGATCTTACTAAAACCTCCAACAGTCGCCATGTCACTGTCTCAATTGCTTCCCTGAAGCGAGTTCCAAAGGCTCCTGAACCACATGATCAGGTACAGTTATAGCAGTGACCTCTCTTCTCTGGTACCAAACACTGTGTTGGTTACTTTTCTTGCTGGTGAGAGAAGGAGGAAAGGTTTCACAGTTTGTAGAGATTTAAGTCTATAATCAACTGGCCCCAAGGTGGACAGCACGGCAGAGGGCAGGAAGGAGGAGAAACAATCCATGGCAGGGCAGGAAGGAGGAGCAGCAGCCAAAGTGAGCCTCTCTTTCTCTCTTATCCCATTCAGGTTACAAACCTTTTGGGTGGAGCCGCCCACACACGGTGTGGGCCTCCCCATTATCCACACTCACAATATACCAAACGAATCAATTAGTCAGTTTAGTACTACACACCCCTAATCCTAGTTTCAGGAGTTGCATGCAGGACCCCATCTGGCTTCACTGAGAATCCAGGTGCAAAGTGCAGCCTGGCCCCCCTGTGTCTTGTGCTGAATGGTGGTGCTCTGCTTCCCTTTAGGTAGGGTCCGTCCACACAGCCCCTCTGTGATGACAGCAGCGCGGTTCCCGGAAGGTCCCACTGTGTACCCTGCAGTCAGCTGCGTCTCTTGCTTTAGTTCAGCATCTGTGGCCCTGGAGGTCTGCTTTGGTCCATGTTCACCCTGGGATGGGGGACAGGGAGATGAGGTGCTCTTATCACCAGGTCTCTGCCTGCAAGAACTAAATGACCAAAAGTGCCAGAGGTGGGGTTTCTGGAAGCACAGGGGACAGATAGTGGGCGGTTGAAACTAGGGGCTCATATGGCCTCAAGAGCTATCTCCTTATGCCCACCATGTAAGGGCCTGCACTTCCACAGCCAACATGCAAACAGTAACAACCCTCAGAGGCCAGGTCCGTGTGCTGCTCAGCCTTCACCCGAAGCCTGTCATCTACACAAAAAAGTAGTAAGACACCTCCATACTCAGTCCTCTCCTAGGTCCTAGTCTACAAAGTTCCATCCTAGGCTGAGGATGCAATTATGTAATGTCTCCAGCAAGTTACCTTTTGTTTTTTGAGACAAGATCTCACTATGCAGTTCAGACTGGCCTTAACTTCACTTTGTAGCCCAGGCTGGTCTCAAACTCGCAACAATCCTCCTGCCTCAGCCTCCCAAGTGCTGGGATTACAGGCATGAGCCACCATGCCTGGCTGCAAGTTACCTTCTTTACTTAAGCAGAGGTCAGGTCTCCAAGGGCCAGGAGGTAATGCATCTGAGGGTTCCCGAGGGCACTACAAAATCCCTCTCATGTTTGGTCAGGAAGAGTTTCCATCAGCCCCATGATTAAAACACCTGCGTTTATAGCCAGACGTTTGCATGACAGCTGGAGCCTCCTGGGCTCGTTCCATTGATTCCTTTCCTGTCCCCCTGAATTGTAGAGCCTGACTCTGCGATGTGGCCGCTGTAATTTTTCTATGTGCCTGCTCTGTCAGGCTCATGTCTCCAGCTGCTCTCTGTGATCAGGCTCATTGGTTTCTCCCCAATGCACTGCTTCCTGTGTGTGCAGTGTGAGCCTCTGGAATGCAAATACAACCTGACACTTCTCATTTACAATTTCAGAGGCCTCCTGCAGCTCTCGGGGAAGGCAGCAAGCAGGTAGTGGGTTCCTTAGTGTGTCCCGTTACTTCATACCTCCCATATGGTGCTTTCCTTCCATATTGGCCTTCCAAGTTTTGCTGAAGTAGCCTCTCTTTGGAAGGCCTTCCTTTTCCTCTGGTCCCTTGGTGTGTTTACATTTTTATCTAGGTTTTCATGGATTTTGTGTATATGAGGACCATTCAAATGCAAGATCCACTGGGGCAGTGATCTTTGTCAGTTTAATTCACAATTGTGTCCCAGGGCTTAATAGAGAAACTGGCACCTATTAGGGTCTGGAGAGACCCTTGACAAAAGACTAAGACCTGTTACTGAAATCTTCACACTCCTGCATCTTCAGCCTGGGATGGAACTTTGTAGACTAGGACCTAGGAGAGGACTAAGTGTGGAGGTGTCTTACTACTTTTTGTGTGGATGACAGTGGCAAGGGAATAGGGCAGCTGAACTCCCAGCTCACCTTGAAGCCTGCTGGCAAGGGATAGGAGGAGCTGCGTCAGAGTCTGAGTACATAAATATTCACCTCGGTGAATTGTGCTTTTGAAGCTAACCTCAGGGGCTGGGAATTTAGCTCAGTGGCATAAGCGTCTGCCTTGCAAGCAGATAGTTGTGAGTTCAATCCCTGGTACTGATAAAAAGAAAAAAGAGGCTGACCTCAAAGAATCTATCGTGACACATTTCCTAACTGCTTATGACAGACGCTTATAAAATTTCCAGTGTTGAACTGGAGCCCACAAGCAGTTGGAACTATGATGCCATGTCCTCTTTTAGAAGAGATAAGTAATTCACCAGAGAATGGGACTGGGAACTATGTTAAGGTCAGGATCTATTTTAGTTGATTTATCACATTCCTTATTTCTGTAGAACTACATAATAAAATTTATTGCCAACTATAAAGTCCGGCAAGATCCTGAACCATCAATCACAGAATCAGTTACTTACAACATAGTTAAACTTTTGAAGGCAGAGAAAATTGGCTTAAATATTTAATAAAGATTTTAATAAACTACTTGTTGAGCATAAAGTGTTTGCTGAGCTAGCGTTTCAATTCACTAATATTCTACTATAAATGATTTTCATTTTGTTTCTGTAAATGGATGGGCAAAATTGAAAGTTTTTTTTCCTTCCTTTTCTTACCTACATGAATCTGGCCAGAGTAAGGTTTGTATTGCTATTAAGATGAGAGCATAATATTTGTTTGGTTTCACCTATCATCTTCTTCAGTTACTGCAAACCAGAAAGTTTTTTGATATTTTATTCTGAAAGGGAAAATTAAATAGATTTGTCTTTAGCCGGGTGTGGCACACCTTAATTCCAGCTCCAGGGAGGCTGAGGCAGGAGGATCACTGCAAGCTCAAGGCCAGCCTATACTACACAATGAGATAAAGGCTGTCTTGAACTACATTGTCTCAAATAAATAAAACTTCAAGATAGAATGCTTCAAGGATGTCTAGTACTTTCAGTTCTGTTATTCCATGTTCTTGTTTACATTGAGTCAGTGATGGAGAGGATACTGCCTTTTAAATATTTGATCCATGCATAGTAACAATGTGGCTTGTCAGACACTGTAGAGAAAACCCCATTGTTAGGGAACATTTCGTAGAGTGTGCCTGTTTATTATAAAGAATTCCTCTTTTGTTGTTATACTAAGGATATCTTGATGGTCTCATTTGTGTAGGCAGAGTGCCGAATCCTCTGCCTACACAAATTCATTTACTCTGCACAAATTCTCCTCAGTCAACAGATGATTAAAGAAACAACTCTTGCTTATACAGGTTAAATAACGTGGATGTCATTAAATTGCTAGCATGTGACAAAATTTGAAACTGTTTATCCTGTTTACCCTGGTAACTTTTGAGAAAAATGACAGCTACAAATGTGGCCATCAGGCACACCTAAAGGAAAAAAATCTGGAGCTAAACATTTACATAAATGTGACCAGATGTATCTAAAATTGAGCCATGCATTGAAGGATGTGATTTGTTCTGCTGTAGAGAAACTATTCCCAGACAGTCTAGGTTATGTTTCTAATCAATATACTTAGTAAGGAAAAGATTTCTATTTTCTGAAAAAGATCCCAAACGTTTCAGCTTCAAATAGTTAATTAGCCACTTCATAGCCAGAAAGAGGAGAGTAATCTTTTAATGACTGAATGGCCTATGTTCCCGGAGCTTCTTCGTGCATTCCGAGTCCTTTAAAGCTCAGTGGAAGATGATCACTAGGGGTGTGGGGTGAGCTCACCGTGTCTGCTCGCTCAGGACTCACATCCATCCCTTTTCCAAGTCCTCGTTGCATAGGGCTTGTTTTACTATCAGAATTTCATTAAGTAATAAATGGAGACAAATTTTGTATTAAGCAATTGAAGTAAAACTATTTAAATGTGACTGTGCTTCTGTGGTTATGATATTAGAAAGACTTCTTTTAGAGTTGCATGATAAAATATTTATGGAGAAGCTGATGTGGTGTCTGAGATTTACTTCACAACAACATGAGGTGGGTGGGTTTTTACATGGGGCAGATCGGCCATAGGTTGATGGTCTTTGGCCTCGCTGATGGCTATTTTGGGAGTTCATTGGATTGGTTTGTATACATTTGTGTAGTTAAAGGTAAAAAGTCTTTAAAAACTAAGGAAGTGCTACTAATGAGGTTGAATCATTTCTTGTGGTATGTATTTACCTTATGATACTTTTTATTTTCAAAGTATCATTTAGGTGGAAGAAACAAAACACAGTGCGCTCTAAGAGGGCTGCTTATCGTCCATGGACATCTGTGCTTATAGGTTAGTGTTAGTCAGGGCAACCGTCTGAGACTTTTTGATGTGATTTTTCTCCCGGCGTCCCCTAAATGAGCACCATTCTCATTATTTCCTGAGAGATTTTATTGTGGTCAACATTGTCATTGCAGGTGTTTGATGGTACTATTTTTTGTCATAGCAACAATTGAGAGTATTTTAGTTCATTTTTTGCTGGTATAACAATACCATAGGGTGGATAAATTATAGACACAGACTTTATTTGGTTTGTGATTCTGGAGGCTGCAATGTCTAAAAGCCTGATATTGGCATCTAGTGAAGTCCTATCCATTGTATCATCTTGTTTTTGAAGGTGGAAGTGAGGAGAGGATGAGAGAGAGACAGGTATGGAGAGATATAGCCCAAGAGAGGGCCAAACTCTGGTTGGCTGATTGACTGATTAATACTGAGGATTGAACTGAAAGCCTTTGCACTGAGCTATGTCTCTAGTTCTTTTTAAAATTTTTTGAGACAGTATCTTGCTAAATTTTTCAGAATGGCCTACAACTTGTGATCCTTCTGCCTCAGCATCCCAGAGTGCTGAGATTACAGGTATGTACTACCACATCTGTCCCAAACTCCCTTTTATAACAAACTCAGTTTCCTAGTAATTAACTGTAGTGGTTGATTGATTGTGTCAATTTGAGACATTTAGAAGTGTACCTAAATCTGCTTATCAATTCTATACCCTAGGATATAGAAGACCTGCCCTAGGGTGTTTCATCTCCTGGATGGTATTGCAGGGAAGGAGAAAAGACAGATGAGGTTTCATCCTTCAGAGGAGCTCCAGTCTTCACCTTTGGCTTGCATGTCATCTCCTGGCTTCTAGCACAGACTCTTTGGCTTCTGCCTTGGATCTCTCAGACTTTCAGCATAGATTCTTCAGCCTTCTGTCACAGACCCATCAGCCTGCTCAGGGGGACTTGCATGGGATACTGCAGTGAACTCCAGACCTTGGATCGGATCCTTCAGCCTCTGGTTAGTAAACACCTTCTGCACACTTCCTCACTTGACTCTGTGGCTGACCATCATAAACCAATCTAGTCATTTCTTATACATTTGTGTATCTCGTGTTATCTCTAATAAAATCCTGAATAATATATTAACTCACTACTGAGATAATGATATAATCCATTTCTGCGAGCAGAATGAATGACCTAGTAAATTCTTATTAGGTCTCACCTCCTGACACTGTTGACTTTAGGATGTTTCTAACACATGAATTTCTGGGTACTTGTGGAAATCATAACAGAGGTCATATGAAAAATACATCCTGTGGAGCGTAGGGATCTGCTAAAGTCAGCTTTGGTTTGGAAATATTTCAGAGGCACTCTTTTAATGAGTGAATCTAATCATAACATCTTTATCCTCATTAAAAATTGGCAAAGAATAGTTTATACAGTTTGGGAAAGTGATATCCAATACTAAATATAACTTTGTCAGCAGGCCTAGTGAGAGGGAAGGAGAAATGTTTAGCGTGTGCTCTGTAGTGCAGGGACAAGGTTGGAGGCAGAAGCAGGGTCATATGTCATCACCTCGTGTGGAGAAATCACACATGACATAGACAAGGAGTGGAACACATTCAGCAACACAAAGAGGCGAATTTCTGATGTTTGCTACAACATGATCATTAATGCTTCATGAAAGATGCTAGGCCCTAAAGATCCTATGTTGTATGATTCAGTTCATATGAAATATCTTCAAAAAGCAAATATAGAGACAAAAAGTAGATTTGCAGTTTCTTGGGGTCAAGAGTGCAAACAAGAGTAACACAGTCTTCACCACTGTCCCACCAGGCAGCTTGACCACCCACTGGGACTGTCCTGTGCCGTGTGATGGGACAATCATGCGGGTACTACAGAGGCTCAGGCTGGAAGGAGCACCTTAACTCTAACTGGGCTTTTGGGAGCTGACTTAAGCAAGAGAAATGTTCCAAAACCAGATTGTAGTGACGCTTTCACAGCTCAGCAAATTCACTAAAAATAATTTCCTCTTACACCTAAAACCAGTAAATCTTTATGACCTCTGAATTGTATCCTGACACATTTTTTTAAGTCAAAGAAGCTCTAAAGACTTGGGAGCTTTTTTGTTTTTGTTTTTTTCTTTTGTTCTTCTATTGTTCAATGTGTGAGGGTCACAGTTATCAAAGCTCTACTGATGACATGGTCCTGGGGATGACTGTCTATCACACCTTGCTGTGTTGTAATGTCTACTCTCTATCTGATTTGGAACTCCAGGACCAAGAAGCTCTGGGTCAGAAGGTGATAGCATTTGGTGAACACCATTTAGAAAAGCCTGTGAGGCTTCTCCTTGTCACTGGGCAGGACTCCCTTCAGCTCAGAGCCACTCCATCACTTGGGCTTGAATCTTGTCATCCACACCTCCTCAGTGGCTATGCTTTCTCAGTTGCACCTGGCTGCTACTCTTTCTTACCAGTATCGTATAAAAAACAAAGTCTTCCCCTAGCACTCCCTCCCCTGTAGATACTGCCCTGCCCTTTTCCTACTCAACTGATCTTCAGTTGTCCATATTCACACCACGTCTTCCTGACTTTGCATCGTGGCTTAACCTATCATGGTCCCAATTTAGCCACCTGACTAAAATTGCATGTGATAAACACATCATCTTCTTCTTTGTTTGCTAAACCCAATGGATATATCTCTGTTTCTATCCTGTGTGGCTTCTTTGTTAAGTTTTCTAACTGTTGCTCACTCTTTCCTGGAAATGTTATCTTCTCTTAGTTCCTGCAATACAACCCTCTTTTGGTTTATCAGATATTTTATGATTATTTCTTTGGTGTCATCTATCATTCTCTGTTATTTATTTTATTTTAAAGGGAATAAAACAATACAATAAAACAGAACAAAAAACCCCACCAAGAACAATATTAGATTTCAAAAACAAGACAGAAAGAGATCCTAGAATTTGGGGTATATTTCTTACTTTGATAAGAGCTAAAGGTAGTAACTGAAGCCACTGTAGGTGAGTTTGCTGAGCCATTTTGCGAAGATGTCTCTTGGGTCTCATTTATTTTCTCTGCCTTTCCTGATGACTGCAATCTCCATGCACAGTGAAGATGGTAGAGAATGTCCAGCACCTGAGGGACACTCTGTGGCTGTTGCTTTAAAAGAAGGCCATTATCACTCCATAAGTTCTTAGGAAGCCAAATCTGGGACGATTTCTGAGACTAAAACTTTTACAACTCTTTTCTGTGCCTTTCCTGTTCTACAAGGACAGGTCTCAAGTCAGCTTATCAAAGTATTCCCAGACTAATAAGTATTCAAGCCCCTGGAGGTATGAGTAAAATCAAGCTGCCAGTCTTCTCCATGGTATTTGCCAAGTCTATATACCTGGCATTTCCCAGAGTGCAGAGGGGCTGCAGTCTGGGAAATATTATTATTCTTCTGACAGAGTTCACATGTCTTAGCTATCTGTTGTATTGTTAGAGAGTCACTTTCCTATGAATAACTTTAAGACCATCAACTGGATCTTGTCTCTCCCCAAGTGAAAGGTTTGATATAAAGACATAAACAATTTTCCATTGACTAGCACCAGGAAGGAACAATTTATCATCACCTGATTGTAAGCATCCTGATGGAAGACACTGACACCCATGGGAGAGAGCCCATTGGATTTCTCACTGAGAATATCTGAGAAAGGACCCTTCCCAGATCATGGCACCTAAATTAGTGGGGGCTCTCAAGCAGCTTCTTTTGCTGCTGTGTAAGTATAGAGAACTATTTGTTTGGTCAGATCTTTTAGCCTTGTTTTCTTTCTTTTCTGGTAGACAGGTGGTGAGGTTTAAGGAGGAGCATGTCTTTATTTGACTGGCCTAAGGCTGTGAAAAATAGTGAGTTATCTGCCCTTCAGTGACTCCTTTCACTGAAGTGTGATAGCTGGAAGGAAGATGGGGGTTGGAAAGAAGGACCAAGAGACACATGCTAGTGTCCAGCAATAAGCTGTTTTCCTTTTTCTCTATAGTCAGATTGCCCTAGACTCCTCCATGGAGACGACAGCCTGGCCAGAGGAAGAAGGCAGAGAATGTCCTGGGGCCCTTCAGTCTCGCTGGACCAGCTGGTAAGATGGGTCAGAACTCTGAGAGCTCTGCCTCAGGGAGCTGTCCAATTTCCAGAGGTCACTTTTGCATGCAAGGCGTGGCTTAGCTGGTTTTTTACTGCAGTCCCTCCTGAGGTGGCTTGGCTTTCTGCAGTGACAGCAGGTGAGTTTAGTTGGTGAGGTCTTCTTGGAACTCTGAGAATACTCTGAGAATCGGACTTAGAGTTATTTAAGGCTGCAGCGACAGCAGCCACTTTCCCTTAGTCTCTGTTTTCTCTCGTTGGCCTCTTCTGCTCCTGATTATAAAATACTGAGGAGGCACTTTCACAAAAGAATCAAGTGAGCCATCTGGAGCAAAATCATCTTTTTTTAGCTTTTTCCTATTATCTGAGACTGACTGGTTAGTAAATTGTCTTTAAGAATAATCTGTCTTGCTAGCCCCACTGGACATGTGGCGAGTCCCAAAGGTTTCAAACTCTTCTCAGCCAGGTACAAGGTCCTAGCACCATAGGCCAGGATGTACTCTGGCTAGCTGTGTGCTCCAGAGGCTCTGAACTCTTCCCAGCCAGAGGCAAGGTCCAGGTGGTACCGCACTCAGGGTCACACTCTGCCTAGCCACCTGGGTCACAGAGGTTTTGAACACCAAGTGCTAGGCCCCGGTGACATACTGGGGGTGTGCCTCTACTAGCCACCTGGGTGCCAGAGGTTCTCAACTCCACTCAACCAGGTTCTAGGCCCCAGCAGCACACTCTGGGAGTGTGTCCCTGTTAGCAGCAAGAGGATCCAACCTCTGCCCAGCCCAGCATCCCAGAGCAACCCAGTGCAGTACATCAGGTGACCGGAGCCGCGGGAGACAGGAGACCAAACTCGAGCAGGATCAGCTCTCAAAGTTTATTGCGTACAGCGAACCGGACCTAACAAGGTCCGCCACCCTCAGTGTTGGTTCCTCTTCTGCCCGTTGGGGGCAGGAACAACCTCTTATAAGGGGAAGCAGTATCCAATCACAGAGAAGCGCGTCTAACAAGCTGATAGGCTAGCGTCACGGGTAACTGGGCAGACATGACAATTTGGCAGGCTTGTTCAGGCCGGGAAGAACCCGGAAGCAGGAAATGGGCGCCATCATAGGCGGCTTCCCACAATCAGGGAGCCTCTCAGGCCCCAGAACACAAGGATCTGGCACCATAGGTGAAGTATGTGCCCCAGCTAGCCACAGGGATATCAAGAGGATTGAACCTCTGCCCAGTGCAGCACTCCAGTGTAATCCATCAGGAGGGTGCCTGACCAGCCCCACCATGGGACCCAGAGGAAAATGACAAAACAAAGAGCAAGAGGCAGTCTCAGTTCTCCAGCCCACTGAGAACAAACCCAAGAGACACTGAAACAGAAGACACTGGAAATTGCACTACTGAACTTTCTAAAATGATAGCAAATGAAGTAAAGAAACAACTCCATGAAGTTATACAGGAAATCAGGTCAGAAATAATCTCTCAGTTAAAAAATAAATGGCAAATATTATTAAAGAAATGTTGTTTGTAAAGAAGACGTAAATAAAAAAAAGAACATAAGAAAACAATGGAAACCTTGAATGAACAATATAAGGCAGAATTAGAATGCATGCAACAGATCAAAGGGATATTTAACAAATTAAAAATTCCACTGAAAGCTGGAAAAACCGTTTGAATGAAGCTAAGATAGACTCTCAGAGCATGAAGACAGGTTGGAAGATTATGAACATGAAGGAAAAGACCAGGAAACAACAGTTCAATAGCTGCAAGATGAACCAAAGAGAAGCAATATAGTATTGATAAGTGTCAATGAAAAAGCAGGGGTCAACACAAATGACCTACGAAGATTATTTGCAGAAACAATAACAAAAATGTCCACACATGGAAACAGACTCTGATATACAGATAAGTGAGGAATACAGAACATCAATGAACCATAACCAAAATAAATCTTCACCCAGACATGTAATAAGTAGGATATCAGAAGTTCAGCACAAGAACAGAATACTAAAGGTTGTCAGAGAAAAGAAACTGATCACCTACGAAGGAAAGCCTATCAGAATCACACGGCAGACTTCTCAACACAAATCCAAGTCAAGAAGAGTTTGGAGCGAAGGAAAGAAAATAACTTTCAACCTAGACTGATGTATCCTGCAAGATTGTCTTTGAAAACAGATGGAGAGGGACGCGAGCAGTAACCGGTGCAGCCTGGGCTGAGCGGAGGACCAAGTGCCCACGGCGGGCTCCACTCGCGGGTGGAGGCGGTGAAGTGCGGGGTCCAGGGCTGCAGCGACAGGCCGAGGCATCGCCTTGTGGAGGAGGACTGGACGTGGCCCAGGAGCGACTGGCCACGGCCCTGCAGAAGCTGGGGTGGGCGGAAAAGGCCGCAGATGAGGTGTGTGTGGGGTAACGAGGACGACAGAGAAGTGGGCCGTGAAGGCCGAGGAGGGGGAGGTCCAGGCGCTGCAGCTCAAACAGGCCTCGCACGTCGCCGGGAGGCTGAGCGCAAGTACGAGGGGCGTAAATTGGTCATCCTGGAGGGCGAGCTGGAGAGGGCCGCGGAGCCTACAGAGGAGCCTACGGAGGAGCCTACGGAGGAGCAGGCGGCTGAACTAAATGCGGGCCCTGGAGGAAGAACTCAGGAACGTCACTAACAACCTGAAGGCCCTGGGGGCTGCGGAGGAGAAGTATTCCAGAAGGAGGGTAAGTGCGAAGAAGAAATCAAACTTCTGTCCGACAAACTGAAAGAGGCGGAGACCTCTGCCAAATTTTTCGGAGAACGGTTTCAAAGCTGGAAAAGACCACTGACGACCTGGAAGAAAAATTTGCACAGGCCAAAGAGAACGTGGGCTTACATTAGACACTGGGTCACAGTGGACTCCTGTCCCAACAGAAACTCCAGCGCTCCGCGTCTCTTTTGCTTGTAAGAAGTTTCTTTTGTATTGCTTTGCTGGAAATGCCAAGCCGATTATGAATACACGACCAAATATTTTATATCAGAGATGCTTTGGGCACCAGTTAAATCTAATTCCTTCGGCTGCCCCTTCTTTCTAAATGGCTTTTTCAGCTCTATTTTTACCCTGAAGTTGCATTTATTCCTAAGGTAGGCAGGGTATTTCGTATTGAGCATATTTTCGAGACTGAGGCCTACTTTGTAGTGGAAGAGTCAACCTCACACTTTCAAGACGTGGACTCTGATATCTTGTAATGGGTTTAAAATGCTAAAGAGTGTAAACTGGCTGGGTTGCCATTGGCCAAGCAACAGGTAAGGGACTATCACATTAAAACGATGAGGATTTTCCACTAGAGAAAAAAAAAGTCTATTGTGGGAAGTCATGAACCACCCCTAGATTAACCTAGCAGCCTAGCCCTTCGCCATACCCAACTGCAGACCAAACATCTTCTCAGCCATCAGGACGAGAATGCCCTGGAAATGATCATAATATTTACTCACGTCTTTTCTGAACACATCTTGAATGCTATACTCCTCCACATACTTCCTCCCCATGTTGTTCTCTGATGAGTGGTCCTCTTTACCAGTGGCCCCCGCTTGTCTTTTCAGATGTAAGGCCATACGCTTGGCAGGAACGTGGTGTTCAGTCCTGGCCACCTCAGCCATATTCAGGACTGCTGCCCATCAATAAACTGAGCAAAAGAAAAATCCCAGGCAACAAGGTAGAGATCAAAAAGTAATTGGTGTAGCTTCCTCTCTGCACTTCAGAGACTGGCAAATGGAAGATTTTTCTTATCTAGGACTTGAATACCTTCTTTGGGACCAAGTTAATACAAGTTCAAGAAACTCCTGATTAAACTAGATATGGAGAATTTTGTAGGCAAGGGCTGCACATCTTGGATTTGCTGTAGTTTCGCTTTCTCAGCTAACGTCTCAGAGCTGTAACATTCCATATTCTCCAGCAGTGTGGGGGCCAACTCCAGTTTAAAAGTCCGACTAAAAGCCATCCCACGTCTAGCTTATTTGAGTCCCCTGCCCTTCACTCCTATTTATTAAGCATTACACTACCAGGAGATAACACTAGTGAATTGTGCAACTGAATAAATTCCACATTCTTCTTTAAATTCTTGCAACTGTATCATATTATATATAATACAGTTGCAAGACAAAGTGTTTTCTACATTTTGGTCAAATAAATTTTTACCAAAACTAAAAAAAAAAAAAAAGAAAATAGATGGAGAAATAGGGTACTTCCATGACAAAGAACAAGTGAAGAAATTCATGGCCACAAAACCAACACTACAAAGAGTACTGAAAGACACTCTAGAAAGAGACAAAACTCAATCCAAGAACAACAAAAAAGGAAACTACTAATCGGGGAAAACAAACAGAAAAAATAGAAAACCAACAATAGAAGATAATATGACAGTGATGTCAGTACTTATCAGTTATACCCATCAATGTAAATGGCCTCAGCTCATCAATAAAAAGAAATAGACTGGCAGAGTGGATTAAGAAACAAAATCCAACAGTATGCTGTGTACAAGAAACACATTTAACTGAAAAGGAAAATAATAGCCTAAAAGTCAAAGGATGGAAAACAATACTCCATGCAATAGGAACTCAGAAAAAAGCAGGGATAGCTATTTTGTTTGCAGACAATGTGAACTTCAAACCAAGAATGATCAAAAGAGCTAAAGAAGGTTACTACGTACTTGTTAGGGGAAAAATTCAAGAGGAATAGATTATAATCATGAATATATTTGCATCAAATATGAGAGCACCCAACTATGTAAGACAAATTTTAATAGACATGAAAAACCAAATAAATAATAATATAGTTATAACAGGGGGCTTTAACACCCCATTGTCACAAAGAGACAGATCAAACAAAAAATCAGCAAAGAAATAACAGAACTAAATCAAACTAGGTGAAAAAATCACCTAGTAGATGTGTACAGAGTATTCCTCCCAACTACATCAGAATACACATTCTTCTCAGCTGCACATGGATCATTCTCTAAAATAAATCATATACTAATTCACAGAGCATGTTTAAATAA